TGAATGGAAAAATCTCATTTTGTATGCTATAATGATGTACAGTGAATGAATGTAAATAAATAAATAAAAATTAATTTTTAAAAAAAAGTGCTGAGGGGGGCCAGCAGATGGCGTAATGGTTACATGGCTGGACTCCCATATAGTGGACCCCAGTTCAAGCCCCAGACTCAGCAACTTAAAAATTCACACCAAGCACGCGTTCATGCATGCCCAAGATTCCAAGAGGAGAATGGAGGAGAAGGGATTACGGGACGGCGTGGCCATCACCCCTAGGGGGTGATTTCTCACTTTCTGTCTCTCTCACTCTGGTAAATGCACATTCCTTATAGAAAAATCTCTCCAAAAAAGATGGGACCAGCAGTTGGTGTAATGGCTATGTCACTGGACTCCCATGTAGTCAACCATGGTTCCAGTCCCGGACCCGGTGGCTACAAATCTCACGCTGGTCTCGTGTGTGTGTTTTTCTAAGATCCCCAGAGGAGAATGGAGGAGAAGGGATTACGGCATGGCCATCACCCCTAGGGGGTGATTTCTCACTTTCTCTGTCTTTCTGGCAAGCGCACACACCCTATAGCAAAAACCTCTCCCCCCCAAAAAAAGAGAAGAGAGAAAGAAAGAATAAAAGGTGTTCAGGTAATTTAGTTGAAAGAAGTGTCCAAAAGAAAATGGTATGTTTGACAAAAATTAGTTAGTAGGACTTTGCAAAAACACAGATCAGCGACATAACTTCCTTTTCTTTTCTTCTTTATTTCTTTTTTTTTTTATTTCTTCCGTAAAAAAGAGAAAGAGAAAAAGGTCCAATAAGGTCGGCATACCATGACCAACGCCTACTCTCGGCCATCTTTAACACTAGCACAAATGAATTACTGTAGGGTTGGTCTGCCCTACTGCTCTTGAACCTAAAATCCTAAGTATGTGAACATAAGACTAAAATACTTCCATGTTCAACTCAGGAATTTTTAACAGTTACATGATTTGACTAGACTAGTCAAGACAGTTAGAAATATTTGATTCAGTAGATGGTCAGTTATTTTGTTCTGGGATCTGTGTAATCAAAGAACAGAGGAACTAAGCACCAAAAAAATTTCGTTTCTCATTTTGGTAGGAGCAGTTTAAACCTCAGACGTCCCATTTACTCAGATCTCAGACAAAATCTTTTTTTTTAATAACCTCTATTCTTTCCTTAAGTATCAAGCTGATTGATAGTCATTTCTCCAAGTACAATCGGAGTTTAACAACTCGTTGAATGAAATATTAGTAAGGTCAAAAAGTAACTAAATTTCACTACGAAAACAAAAATCTACTCAAGTATTGCATTCACTTTTGAGATCATTTACTAACATGACAATAGATTTGGCTTCGATCACTCTTGCACACACTCACACCCACAACAGGCACCCAGCCACTGGTCTGCTTTGCAACACAAGGCCATGTAGTCAGAGATGGCATTCTCCAAGCCAAACTTCAAATCGATTTTTAAAAGTAATTTCTAATTTTACAGAATGTTTCTTCATAAAATATTTTCTCTCACTCCATCTCCTATACTGAAGGATGTGTAATGTACTTTATCTTTTTTCCAAGCTATATTTGTACTTTCAAAATTGATTCCAAACAGAAAAATCTCTGCAAATTAAATTCAAAAGCAAAAATTGAAAATTTATATTTTATGTGTGTGTGTGTGTGTGTGTGTGTGTGTGTGTGTATAATTCCAATTATACTGATTGGAATCCTCCGGCATTTTAAAATCACTTTAGACATTAATTTTGGGATCCTAGTGCTCATCACTCCAAAATCTGTACTGATTTAAGGATGAACTGTCTCCCGTTCCCTTCATGTCTATATCCTTCTCTCCTAAATAGCTCAGTATAGCCACTGCTTAAGTTTATGGGAAGAGAGAGCTAAGTTTTTTAATAGGTTTGGTTTTTTGTTTTTTCTTTGGTCATCTAGGTGGCACATATTTCTCTTTGCCATTACATCGAGTTACTCCCTAAGGTGTAGCCCTGTGGCTAAACTGGCATCTCTGTTCCTGATTTTTCCAGCTGCTCCCCTGGGAATGACGCAATAGACTCAGAAGCCAGAATAATCCTTGCTAGTCCTTGGTTCTGGCTTCTCGTGTAACTTCTCAATGGACTTCTCAGGAGCTGCGTTCTCTTCATTTTTGGTGGAAGACACTACATTGACGTGAAGTTCCTGTAGTGGCTGCACGACTGAAGATGGCTCTGGAGGGGGCTTCTGGCACACTTCAGCACACTTAGTTTTGGGGGTTCCTGTAGGGCCACAGCTGCAGCTGCATTTATGTTGCTATTACATGGTGAAGCAGTATTTGCCCTTGATGGCTCCGCAGGACTTGGGGAAGAAACTGGTATGGTTATGAGAACATCCTTCTGAACAGTGGGATCCTCTGTTGGATCCTTTTCTGGCTGAGTTGTGCCTAATGCAGGAAGCTCAGCTGAGCACGGAGGACTAGCTCACACACTGAGCTGCTGGGCGGAAGTGCAGGCGGTCTGCTCGTCCTCTGTAGGCACTGGGCAACTACCTTACAACTCTTCATTATCCCTTTCTTTGTAGACACCTTTAACAACACCAGACACCCTGTTTTCCAAAACAAGTTCACCTGGCATTCTTGATGAACTTCCAGGTAAAGGAGGAAAACTCGAGGCTAACAAGTCAAACTTTGGTGTTGGAGCCTTTGCTTCAGCAGTTGAAGGATGAGGTCTTGGGATCATCCATCTTCTCGCTGTCTTTGACGTCTGAAGAGTTCTCCTTCCATAGTCCCCGTTCTGTTCCATCTGTAAAGTGGGAGTCTCCTTTGGAAGATAAGTTTGCTCTGGATGGTCCGTTACTACAGGGTTATGCCGTTCTGTTGAAAAATTTCTGGGACTAAGTCTATTCAATGGTCTATCTCCTGATGACACACAGCCCTCTGCTGGGTGTTCTGAACCATTGGATGACCTAAAATGAGGCTTCACCCGATTTTTTTGGAATAGTCGACTCTTGTGCATAACAGAAGTGTTTGCTTTATAAGATCCTGGTGAATTAACGCATTCATAAAACTACCATTAGGAAAGGGAGCCAGTGTTGTTTCAAAGTAAGGTGCAAATTTGGAGACCAAGACTGAGGCACAATTGTGCTATTGGTAAGGATTATATACAGGCTGCATAAAGACTGGCGAGGCATACTGTGCTTGAGCTTGAATGGCTGACTATACATACTAGAATCCATTAGTTGATAACCATTCTTAGCAAAGATGGCTTTTATCCTTGCCATTATTGGCTTGCCCTGAAATGTTTTAACTTCTTCTCTAAGTATTTAAATGCCTGTTGTGCATCTGTGCTACCCGGAAAGTAAGTATACCAGTTGCCATTGTGTGCAGACTCAGCTTATCACTTTGAGACAGTTTTCATTTTTGAACGAAGCTTTCACTTCCTCTCTTGGTGGTGTTTCAGGAATCTCTAGAAATCACAATACAATGCTTATGACTTGGTCTCACTTTCTCACCCTTTTCATCAACTTGTACCACGGGAGAAGATCTCAGCACTTCAAGAATTAGATCAGGGTCTGTGGTCGGCTCTTTTTTTTTCTTCCCTGTTAGCGACTGTCCAAATGGGGACAAGCTGGTCACTAGTAAAGATCCTTTGTTCTCATGAGAAACAAAACTCTTCCTTCTAACATTCTTTTAGGTCTTCTGTAGAAATTGCTGAGTTGCTTTTCTCCAGAAATGTCATATATTTGATAACTCAGATCTTCTGGTTCTAAAATCATTCCATCAGCTGGTTCTTCAATGCTTGTAGTGTTTCTTGTGGTGTCATAAGATGGAGAATACATTGCTTCGTATTCTTTACACGAATCTTCTGAGAGTTCCGTATTATCCTCAGGATGAGACCCTGACATGGCTGCTGCTTCATGCCAAGAACTTCTGGTTCCATGAGTTATTGGAGTGGGATCGGTGTTTCCAGGAGGAATTTCTTGCCATACTCTGCCATTGGGATTTAAACCACTTCCTTTAGCTGTTACCTGCTATTTGCTATCAGAAACAGAAATCCCGTGCTGCTTAACCCCATAAATGCTCCATGAAGAGCAACACGTCTTCCTCCACTGGCCCAGTCGTTCCCGCCACTGCAACTCCAACTGGCTCAGAGGCCTGAGGCCCAAACCCATAATGAACAC